GACATGAACAACTATATAAGACAATGAAACCCGGATCCAAAACATCAAATGGATCAGGTCTAAACCAGAATCACTATAACCTCCTCCTTTAAGGAATTTCATCATTGAAATTTTAAACCAAACATTAAAACCATGTCTAAGCCAATCACCACAATGATAATAAATTGAATTCATCACCATGACCCATCCACCGGTCATTCATTCTCATCACCAAGATAAACATATACTCATTACTGAATATACAATTCACATTTCTAAAACATATACAATGTTTATATTACATTAACATAACAAAGTTTTCAATACATGTTCAAACATCAACAAATAGGTCTGGATACTTCTCACGAACTTCTACACACGCTCCTAAATGACCTCCTCAACACCGTGGTGTTGCCACAACACTTTTACCAAAGGAATCGTCTTGCCTTATAAGACTTGGTCTCGAGTATCTAAAACTCTAACCGGTCTCTCCTCATACAAGGCATCCTCGTTTACCTCTAACTCCGTCCAATTCAACACGTATGATGGATCTGGCTCATACTTCTGAAGCATATAGATATAGATCAGGTCATGAACCCCTGACAGTTGTAGCGGCAAGGCCAAACGGTAAGCTACCTCCCCAATTCGTTCTAGGATCTCAAAAGGCCCAATAAATCTAAGGGACAACTTCCCACTCTTCCCAAACCTCATCAAACCACGTCTAGGTGATATTTTCAAGAAGACATAATCTCTTACTTCAAAGGATAATAGTCTCCTCCTACGATCGGCATAGCTCTTCTGACGACTCTGAGTCATAACCAACCTCTTACAGATAAGTGTCACTTTCTCCATCATTTTCCAGGCTAACTTTAGACCTATCATAGGTGCATCACCCACCTCATCCCAACACACAGGAGATTTACACGGTCGGTCGTACAAGGCCTCAAACGGTGCCATACCTATACTTGACTGGAAGCTATTTGTAGCACTTATACCCTTTTAGAACTTTTGGGAAGTGTATTTGAATTCTTTATTTTATTTTGGAAATCTTTGGTGTTGTTGTATCTTAGTTTTGGAGGAGTACAAATCGATTTAAACTTGTTAGGATTGTTTGTTCACGCTTGTTTACGTTGAAAAGTTGTTTGGGAACTTAGAAATCTTGTTCGCGGGTCGGCAACAATCTTGGTGGTGTCGACACTTGCCTTTTGTTGTTGGCCTTAAGGATCGACACCAGTCTGGAAGGGTCGACCCTTGTGTGTTGCTGAATCTGGAAGTTGCTTGCCGAAATTTGGTGTCGACACCAATCTGGGAAAGGTCGACACCTTGCCTGTTGCACTCTTTGCTTTTCTGTCTGAATGGTCGACACCTCTACCCGAAGGGTTGACACATGCGTGTAGAATTCAGCTTTTTGGGTTAGTTTGGGCCCTATTTTTTGGGATTTTTGACTTTTTCTTTTCATTTGACTTTGGGGCTATTGTTCTATTAGTGCCTAGCCACTATAAATAGGTTCCAAAACACTTTCCTCCCATTACTTTCCTTCTCTTTTCCTCTCAACCCGTGATTTTTCTCTTCTCTCTCTAGAACTTGACTTTTCACACTTAGATCTTCAGATCTACTCACCTAGAGCCATCTTTTCACCTTGGTCCTTCGGGAAAGGTTGTAGATCTTGTCAAGGACTTTCTATTGATCCAAGTAGTTTGTGGTTTCGTCGCCGGTGATTTTTGGGTTGTTTTCTCTTCGCTTCAAGAGGTAGGGATTTCTTTGCTCATTTCTAATACTTCATCTATAGATAGATATGTGGTAGATTTTATTGCATAAAAATCATATTCACTATGGATTTTCTTGAAACCCATGAAAGGGGATCTAGGGTTTGATATTTGTGATTGGAGTTGTTAAGTTGTTTGTTGTTGGGTTATTTGGGAAATGATTTATTATGTTTGTTAAGAAAGGGAGGAAAGTCCTATTTAATATTATTGATTTAATGGATTTAAAAAGGAGGAAGTTGAATAATCTTTGTATTTTGCTAATATGGGTTGTATAATTATGTTTATATCAAAAGAAAATAAAAAGAGAAGTAACCACAGTATTGGTATTGTTTTAGACTAATCATATGAAGTTGAGTTGAGTTATGGTTTTGATACCAATGGAATTGGTTTTGTAAAATAAAGAGAATGGATTTGGTTTTGTAAAATGACAAGAATGAATTCTTAGAAAATGGTTGGAGTTGGGTGGATTGGAAAATAAACAACAGTGGTCTTTTTGAAAGAAAATGAAATCATCACCCTTTGTAAATATGTCTGAAAGACAAACATTCTTTGATTTATCTGGGAAAATTAGAATGCTCTAAGGTTATGTCTTAATAGACTTTGTTTTGTACTTTTAACTGCGCTACCGATATTGTGTG